GGAATGGGGAGGAGTTGCGGCCGAAAGAGAGATTCCAAGGGAGAAATAAGGAATGTAATGAAAGGGGTGAGTATGTTACCTTTTTCGATGGGGTGGAGTTGCATTCCAATTTCTCTCTTGCAGATATCGTAAGCCCATGAAACCTATGCAATGTGAGAGAACTACAATTCTATGTGATGTTAGCTAAAATGAATGCAAAGGAGTGAGAGTTGAGAGAGAGGACCGAGCGGGCCTTTAGCAGGACCCATGGGATGATGACTCTTGTCCGGAGTCTGTGCCGAGGTCCGATGAGACCTCAAAACGGATTCCTTCTTCGGTCAGGGGAGGTAGTACAAAATAGGCCATGTCGAATCATCGATACCTACTCTCGATGTCCACGATATATACTTGATTATTTCTCAAATTCAAGAAATATTTTTTATCTTTAAGAATAGTGTGCGTTGTCGCATTGTCTATAAGACATATATCCTCAACTTAAAGTTCAAAATGATATTTATCCATAATTTATAAAGAATGATAATAAAAATTGAATAAATGGAAAGTAATATAAAATATGTATTAATACCGAATAAAATGACTAAAAACTATAAAAATAACCAAAATGGAAAATGTAAGTTATTAGATAGATCTATAACTTTTCTAATATACAAAATCCATATATATGGCGAGTGTAGAACATACTTAAATTATAATAATTTTATAATATAATATATAGAAAAATATGTAAATGAAATAAATATAAAATTATTTTGAATAGTTTCATTACTGGTAACGTGTTATAAAAATAATAGTAACTAAAAATACAAAAATGATATACGAAAAAAGAGAATGTTTTTCTTCTTATTCGTTCTTGTTTTGGTGTTCTTTCTTCTTGGTGTGTTTACAAATTGAGGTTTCAAATTTATAGACTTTAGAAGAGAAAAAAAAACACCTTTTGAATTAATAAGAAAAAGAGATACATGAGACTATTAAACATAAACATTCATAACACTTTTACACTTTTAAATTTATTTCTTAACAATTTTAAATTTTATTATTTTTATTTCGATTTTCATAATACTAGTCTAGTTTTGCAACAAGGGGGGGTAAACGTTTGGACTCCATATGGGCCTCCAAGTAATATTGGGCTTTATGTATAGAGGCTAAATTGAGCCTGCAAATCTTCCCATCTATTTATTTTACTATATCTTTCCATATATTTTACTATTTTTATTTTTATATATTTTTGTTAATTATTTTCATATTAAATTTAGTATTATCCATTTCTCGTTTTTTTTTTGCTTCCTCGTTTAGCTTTTACATGTGGTAGAGTAATCATGGGAGAAAAGTAGTTAAATAATTTTGTCAGTAGACGTAGTTGTAGCAATTTATTGGAAGTAACCTTTCCTCCGTCGACCGAGACAAGTCAAATTTGGCATCTATTGCCCACATCACGTTAATGCATGACATTAACCCCATTATATATCTACACATATATTGACATTATAATAATTTGCTCATATTCGTATTATACGGAGATTGTGAACAAAACGATTAATTAAGATTGGTTATTAGGATTTCTTTTGAGAACAAATAAGAAAACAGTGTGGAAGAATATTAGGCTTTTTTATGACAGTTGATTTAATTTAATTGGATATACTTTGCTAAAAGTCAAAGTATTGTTATCCCTCGGTCTCGCCTATACATTTTAAAATACCGATTAAATAAGCTCAAAAGAAATGGAAAAAAAAAGGATGAAAACGCGTATTATCGAAAAAGGAAAAAGTATACCACATGACATGCAATTTGATTAAAAAGTATTCAGATTCATTATTCATAGATCCCAGCTAGACCGAGAGATAATACATCTTTTTTTTAGAAATTTAAATATATTTCGGAAAACTAATTTTTAAAAAATGATAATTCAATGGGGTGATGATACAGAGTTAAATTGGGTGTGATCACAATATTACAAAAAAAAAGGATATTTACTTTATTATCAAAGTATACCATAAAAATAACAGAAAACCCCATTTAAAAAATTTTACCAGGATGGAAAAACTAATTTTTAAAATTTTCGTTTAACAAATTTATTTTCAAATTTATAAAATATGTTATTACAATTTATAAAATTATAAAATACGTCATTATAATTTTCAAACGAATTTATAAATCAATATTTTTTTGATACTAACACGTTTGAAAATTATAAATGACAAATTTAAATTTGTCAATGGGATTAGGTTTTTACAATTTTATAAGTTTAGATATTTTAAACGCATATTATATAATGAAATATTGAATGATCGTACCAATATTTTGCAATGACTTTGAATACATTTTCTACAAAGAAACCATCCAAGAATACCCAGGAAATTTCCACGGGTCAAAAAAGAACAGGTCATCGAACAAGAAGAAACGAACGTATATAAATATATTCCGACACACGTTAATCAGACCAATACACACACACACACCAAGAATCTGTATCTTTGTCTCGTGTGTGTAGTTGTTGAGCGTTCGTTAGAACAAACCGTCTCCGGTTTCTCCACAATCTTTGTCTGTTTTTAAATTTTTAAATAAAAAAAAAAAGAACAGAACCCATGAAACCCAAGATATCCTTACTGAAGTTTCTGGTGTTTTTTGTCGTCTTCGTGTTTTCTTCTTCTTCTGTCGTCGAAGGGAGTGTCCGGCGATTCAAATGGGAGGTGAAGTACCAGTTCAAATCCCCCGACTGTTTCGAGAAACTGACGATAACGGTCAACGGTCAGTCACCGGGCCCGACCATCACAGCTCAGCAAGGAGACACCATTGTTGTCGAGCTCAAGAACAGTTTAATGACTGAAAACGTCGCTATCCATTGGCATGGCATCCGACAGGTAAAAAAAACAACTTATAACATATTATATATATATATATATATTTATTTATATTTCCGTTTTATTCTCTCAATAATATGTATTGGGTGTGTGAATTGATTTTCAGATAGGAACTCCATGGTTTGATGGAGCAGAAGGTATTACGCAGTGTCCAATTCTTCCCGGAGAGACCTTCACTTACCAGTTCGTCGTCGACAGAGTAAACCATCATCAACTTCTCAAGCTATCTGTTTCTTTCTTGTCATATGAATCAAAACACGGCCTGATTATATGTTCCATGTGTTATGTCTCAGCCTGGAACGTACATGTACCATTCGCACTACGGCATGCAGAGAGAAGCCGGGCTGCAGGGGATGATCAGAGTTTCTCTTCCAGAGGGAGAATCCGAACCGTTCCGGTACGATTACGACCGTACCATTCTGCTTGCCGATTGGTACCACAAGAGCACTTACGAGAAAGCCACCGGCCTCGCCTCCATTCCTTTCAGATGGGTCGGTGAACCTCAGGTAAAAATATTCTCTCTTCTCTGACGTACTCTCACCATCTTGGAATTGTTCTTATGCTTATACGCTACGTTTGAACATTCAAATCAGTCGCTTCTGATACAAGGAAGAGGGAAATTCAACTGTTCAAACTCGGTAATTCCGAGCAATGTGGCCGGGGTCTGCAATTCCACGAACCCTCAGTGTGCTCCTTTTGTCCTTACTGTCGTCCCCGGCAAGACTTACCGTCTCAGAATCGGTAGTTTGACCTCTCTTTCTGCCCTCAGCTTCCAGATCGAGGTACCTTCACTCGCAAGTCATCTTTCAGAACGTGTCGTTTTTTCATTTCAGTGAAGAATAGTTCATTTTATGGGATTTCGATTTTGTAGGGCCATAACCTGACGGTGGTGGAAGCGGACGGACACAACGTAGAGCCGTTCACGGTGAGGAATCTGTTCATATACTCGGGCGAGACTTATTCCGTGCTGCTCAAGGCAGATCAAGACCCGAAACGAAACTACTGGATCACGACCAACATCGTCAGCCGCCGGCCGTCCACTCCGCCGGCAACAGCCGTCCTCAACTACTACCCCAACCACCCTCGCCGCCGACCTCCGACGCCATCTCCAGCGATCTCCGATCTCCCGGTGTGGAACGACACTCGCCCACGTGTCGCTCTGAGCCTAGCCATCCGGGCACGGAGAGGGTTCGTTCACGCGCCGCCGGCGAGTTCCGACAGAGTGATCGTGCTGTTGAACACGCAGAACGAAGTCAACGGGTTCAGACGGTGGTCGGTCAACAACGTGTCGTTCAATCTCCCCCACACTCCCTACCTGATCGCGTTGAAGGAGAACATAACCGACGCGTTTGACTGGAATTTCTCACCGCCGGAGAATTACGACTGGGAAAACTACGACATATTCGCGAAACCCATAAACGCAAACGCGACGATCAGAGACGGGATCTACAGATTGCGGTTGAATTCAACGGTGGACGTGATTCTGCAGAACGCGAACACGATGAACGCGAACGACAGCGAGACGCACCCGTGGCACTTGCACGGGCACGATTTCTGGGTTCTCGGGCACGGACAGGGGAAGTTCAACGTGTCGGAGGATCCGAAGAAGTACAATTTGGTGGATCCGATAATGAAGAACACCGTACCGGTTCATCCGTACGGATGGACAGCGTTGCGCTTCAGAGCGGACAATCCCGGCGTTTGGGCTTTTCACTGCCACATTGAGTCGCATTTCTTCATGGGGATGGGCATTGTGTTCGAAGAAGGCGTCCACAGAGTTGGGAACTTGCCGCCTTCCATCATGGGCTGTGGTCACACCAAACGCTGATTGATACATCGGTTCATGTCTATGCCATTTTTTTTTTTCTAATTTCTGTTGGGTGAAATTGATTTGTTTACACGTAAGTGGCTGCTTGATTCCAAATGTTTTTTTTTTCTCCGAAGAAAAATATTAACTTTTGGCTTCGAAACAGAGAAGAAACCTCTAATTTCAACAGTCAATGCAAATGGTTATGAAAGAGAGTATAAAACCATTTTTTTTTTAATTTCTGTTGGGTGAAATTGATTTGTTTACACGTAAGTGGCTATGAAACCTCTAATTTCAACAGTATAAATCGGACCGACATTAAACGGTCATCAAGTTTGAAAGTCAAATATCGGAATTCGCGTTTTTTTATATTAAATGTAAACTATTTAATAGCTCAAGTTCCATTTAAAAAAGGATATTGCAATAAATGATTTTTATCTATCTCTCTCACACACACACAGATATATATATATATATGTTTTTATATATTTTCAAATTAACACAACTTTCAACAGTATAATTCACAACTAATACAATTTGTCCTTTTTATATCAAGAGATCAAAAGTTTTCTTTTTTTTTGGTCAAAAGTTTGGATTTTTGCAATCATAATGATATAGAAATCATAATGATATAGAAAATTGGTGACAGGGAAAAAAAGTCAATCAACGCATGTCACGAAGCTGGGTTCGTATTTGAATTAAATGGGCCCAATCAGGCCCATTCCAGTGACCATCACGTGCTTAGAACATGGGTGCTGGAATCTGAACAATCAAAAAGTATCCCATGTTATATAAATGATTAATTATCCTTTTTTACAATCCATATATATATATATGCTAACCATACCTAAATACCTAAATCGACTGTACCTCCAAATAATGATTCATGTGTTTTCACATCTCTGGTGACATCGTAACAGTATATAGAACATAGATGGGCCAAATTACATAAGACCATTTTGTTGTATGGAACTGATTTCCGACAGATGGTAGGCGCCCAAACGTAGACAAGTTTAAAAGAGCACTTCCACAATTAATCTACTGCCTATATCATCTTATGTTAAATAAAAAAAGGTATAATAAAATACTCATGCAAGAAAAATAGTTCAATTAATTAATTATCTACAATAGAATTAATTGTAATTACTATATTATCTTAATTTATAACTATATCACTAGGAATTGTCTACGAGTCTCTCTAGACATGTTTAGCTTAACAATATTAACTAAAGCAACACTCCACCTTTTTTTTTTTTTTATAACCAGGAGGTTCGTTGGGCCTTCGTCCCACTTAATCCCTTTGGGGCCGGAGTCAGCCTTTAGACACGCAATTAATTGTGTTCATCCTCCCCACCAGTGGATTCGAACTCATGACGTCGAGGATGACTTTATCACCTCTTCGCCATTGGGCCACCCACTGTTGGGTAGCAACACTCCTCCACTTAATGTTGAGTTCCAATACAACTTGATATATATATATATATATACGTGTGTGTATAAATTCTTAGATACAGATTCATGTGTTGAAAGTTGAGTTTATTCGCTGATCGAATCGAGTAAAGCCAAAGCATCTAAAATGAAAGCGCGTGAGAAAAAAGAAGGGGAAAAAAAAAAGACGTGTCGTTTTTGTTCCATGTGAATGATCTAACCCTCCCCCTTTTGCATTAAATTCTTCCCATCTTTTCAATTACTTTTTTCTAATATATTATCACGAAGATATATTTAAAATATATAGGGGGTCGTAACGATTGGAGCTTTTTTAAAGATGCATCAGTAAAATCTACTATAAAATTTCCTTATGATCGAGCCATTGCAGTCATTATAGATATTTTTTTTTTATTTGATCAAATTGTTGTGGTTGTAAGATGGATAACTAACGTAATGATTTGTTAGACATTGTGTCCATATTAAATCCGATATTAATATACAACAAACTTAGATGTTGTCGATTATTCATAACTCATGAGGAGATGCGAGTTCTTAGATTTGCACTTCAATGTGGAATTGGGATTTTTTGTCATTTTTTTATTTTTATTTTTAGAGAGAGTTACATTTAATAGTTAATATACTCAGAAGAAGAAATATTTTAATAAATTTTGACATGGGAGTATAGAATCTGCAGATGACGGTGGGACGAATAGTAGTAGATGCGCATTGATATTATCAATGACTGACTGGTTTCCATTTCTCTTTCACACTGACTCAATACATACACATATATATACACACACACGTAACACGTATATATGCATATCACAGTGTCAGTCTCTCCCTCTCTCTCTCTCTCCTTCATAAATTACAGAGCGATATAATTAACATGCTTGCAAACCCTCAAGCAAGATCTGTCTAAATAGTGAGAGGATTAGGTTTGCAGAGGGAAAGAAAGCAATGGCTCCACTCTCGTACTTGAGTTTCAGTAAGGTACTTTTGCTGTGTCTTATTCTTTTCCTCTTCTGTTGTTCTTGTTCTTGCTCTATCCGTTCTGTCTCGTCGGAAACTCCAAGCGACGAGATACAAACCCATCACCATTTAAGGGTGAGAAGATTGTTGGAGAAAGATCTGGAATTTGGTGAGGATGAGATTGAGACTGTCTCCCCCAAGAAGAAGCCTAGTGGTTCGTCATCTTCGTCTGCTGCCAAGAAGAACCAGACCAAGCTCCTCAAACCGATCTCTTCTTCGTCCAAGAACCAGACCAAGATCGCCAAGAGCTCCACTGGTCTATCTCAGAAGCTCAACTCGACCAAATCTTCTAACACGACCAAGAGTTCCGAGTTCAAGAAGCTCACTTCTGGTTCCAAATCCAGTAATTCCACCAAACCCAGTTCGTCACCGATCAAGAAGTCATCAGATCTTTCCAAATCCAGCTCGCCCAAAAACAAAACGTCCACCAAACCCACCTCCGCGAAATCCCAAAATTCCCAACTTTCAGCTCCTTCAGACAAGAAAACCACGTCCTCTTCAGAAAAGTCCGACAAAACCGCAAAACCCACGAACAAAGAGAAACCCACCGACAAGACCCAGAGCCAGAAGAAAGAGATCAAACCCTTTTGGCTCGATGACGAGGAAGATGACGACTTGGTCAACGAATTCAGAGATCTACCCACGAAATTTCAACGGTCGCTCCTCCCAGACCTCGAAAGAATCTCCAGCACATCCAAAAGCTACATCACCAAAGCCAACAAGGAGATGGCCAAGAACTTCAAACCCTATTTTGGCAACAAGTACGCGCCCACAATCGCCACCGCAGTCTCCTTCATCTTCATCTTAGTCCCTCTACTCTTAGTTTCTCTCATTTTCAACCGATTCAAAGCATATTTCTCTCTCCAGAAGATCTTGATCTTCATCCAAGTCTACCTATCGATCTATTTCTCGATCCTCTGCCTCTCGTCGCTCGTCACGGGGCTCGAGCCGCTCAAATTCTTCTACGCAACTTCGCGTTCGACCTACGTCTGGTTGCAGATTCTGCAAACCCTCGGCTACGTACTGTACCTGCTGCTTCTGCTGATGTACCTGGTCTTGGTGTTCTCCACCGATTGCGAGCTGAGCCTGAAGTTATTGGGCCTTGTCCAAACTTTCGTGGGCTTTGCCGTTGGGCTTCATTATTACGTGGCTGTGTTTCATAGGGTGGTGCTCCGACAGCCGCCGAGGACGAACTGGAAGGTTCACGGGATTTACGCCACGTGTTTTCTTCTGATTTGTCTGTTCTCTAGGGCTGAGAGGAGGAAGAAGGAGTACTTGGAGGAAGGCGGAGGAGAAGGGAAGAAAAATTGAGTTTTCTGTTTTTTGTCTTTCCTTTTTTTCCCTCCTTTAATTCTATATTTTACTTTCAGTAATTCGCCAAATTTTAATTGAGAATGCAGTAGAAGTACGGAATTATAGGGAGAAGTGGAACGTTTTACTGCAATTGTATTTATTTATGGATAAATTTAGAATAAAATATCGAATTTTCTTCCGTATTTTTTTTTAACAATGTAACAAAACATCTCATGCCATTGTCGAAATATTACGACATTATATCCAGTATACCTTAAATATAAAAACTTTGAACTTCGGTGCGTATTATTGCCACACTGGTCAACGTTGGTCAATCATGTTGAGCGAATTACCGATTGCGAATGTATAGAATATCGATTAGTTTCGATGAAGAAAATGCATAGAAATCTAGAACATGCGTTATTTATCCATCCAGATACCAAAGAAAACAAAAATATTGGTCAACTGAGTCAAACATGGTTTTTGACCTTGTAACTGTGAATTTGACATGCTCTGCAATGATGATTTTTTTTTAAGTTATGATAATTCTTACTGCGTATATAACAAAATAGGCTGAGTATCATTTGAGATATTGTTCGCATTTACCCCTTTTTACTGCGGTCGTTTTGAAGAATATCTCGGTTTATGTCGGTTTTTGACTCTCGATCTTCCGATGAATTTGGCAGCAAACTGGGTTTCCATGTCATGCTTTGTTCTCAAATGCATGGAACCGCAATTTTTTTTTATACAAATTCTATCTTTTTTATGGAATATGTGATCATGAAAACATTTTGTCCACATTGGAGGCCAAGTTATATGGATTTTATGTTTTCTACAGCCCCTATAGTCACGATTCAATGCCATTGTTCTTCTTTACCATCGATTTTATTTTGTATATATTACATATTTTTCTCCTGGAACCGTTTGTTTTGTTTGTATTCTTTTAGTTACGTACATGTGGGACCCATTACCCATTAGTGGAGAAAATTGGGTCCAATTTGGTTATACCATAAAAAAAAAAATCACGTTTTCGTCTGGACCGATCGGTCTGGTCCATTGAGAATGTAATTTTGATAGAGCAACGTACATGCTAAGAATTAAATAAATCACGTAGATTTTTTTTTTTTTGATAATCTATAAAATTACAGGGCATTAGACCCAATTAATCAAAAGGATCGGGAAAATAATTTTATTTCCGGTTCTCCCACACTACAGAAGAAACTGTGTATACAACATATACAATTATATCGACGAACCTTTTCCAAAATGCAAAAGAATGCTAAATCGACACGATCATCATACTATATGTGCCACTTGAAATAACAATCACGATTATAATCAGATTATTATAACTAATGCGTTTTTTCTGAACCAGATTCCTAGCAGATATAATATATCGTAAAACATTTGGTTATGATTTTGGACATTAATACAAAGCTATAATGTCTATATGGGCTATTTATATATGCAGTCTTAAGTTATAACGACGGTTCTCGTAATAGACGCCAAAAGTCAAACTCCGGATATTATTAGGGTTAGGGTATTAATTAAATCTACGGGAGGGTCCACGACGTGAGAGGATGGGTATTTCAGTCATTTTAGGGATCTGCCGACGGACTTGGGTTGCGTTGGGTGTCGGTGGATCTACAAGTTTTACGGAAGACTGCGACACTATTCACTTACGTGTCTCCCTGTCTGACCCTCTCCTTGAAAACCAGTCTCTAAGCTGGTACGTACCTACTTGGCACCTGTCCACGTGGCACACGACCAGGATCCGAATCAGTATAAGGATGCATTGCATGCATATATATCATACATGTATATATCAAGTGAAAATTTAGAATTTCATTGACAGAGAATCTCTTCAAAGGTATTAGAAATTATAATGGTTATAAAGTTTTTAATTCTAAAAAAAATTCATTTACTTTGTAATAATGTTTGAGAAGCTATAACTATCCTGCAACATATTCTTACATCTCACATGCAATGGGGACAAAGACAAGAACCTCCATGGTTTGTTAGTTTATTGGACATATAAAAATTAAGCTAAAAGCGTTTTGAGTCTTTATCAGGACCGTTACTTGTATCAATCGATATTAAATTTTTTCTAATCGACGTCTTTTGTTGTTCGTCCGGTGGTTATAAAACAAATTTACGAGGTTGCATTGCATGGTCCGGTGGTAGTTATTTTACTGCCCTTTTTAGGGCTTTTTTCCTTGACGTTCCAGCCCAGACGAGATGAAAGCCCACATAGAATCCGATCTTGGGCTTATGATGAATTGCACGGCCCATTTCTCAATATTTAAAAAATATCGCTGGTTCCGATGAAATTATATATCGATTAAATTCCATGTTTTTTTTTTCCGCAAACTGAATTACGGGTGGCCAAAATTACCTGAATTTCGGGTATTTTTCCCGACCGTTGGTCGAATATCCAAATTTCGGATATCCGCGGTATAATGAGATAGAAATCGGGTTTTAATATATTTAAAATCCGAAATTCAGGTTGGTGTTTGTAATTTTGGGTCGGGTAATTACAAGTGGATATTCAAATAATTAAAAATAAATAATCTACTTTTACATTATTATAAAATTACAAATATATCTATTAATGCTTAATTGTTTTTATATTTATTTATAAAAAAATTATCATTTTATAATCTATTTATTTTTAGTATAAATAATATCATTAATTTTATAATTTATTTCTATAAAACATATAAAATTGAGAGTTTTTAATTAAAAATTGTTTAAAACCGTTGGATTCGAATATCACGGGTACCAAAAAATTGCCTCATGGGTTAGATCGATTCAGATGTCCGAAAATTCGGATTCAAATTCGGGTTTTGAAATGAATAACTCGTTGGACTCGGGTACTCAGACGCGTACCCATCCCTAAACTGAATATTGCAATTGCATCATATATTGATTTTATTTTGCTACATTTGTATATTTTTGTCGAACAAGGAAGTCCAACGTGACATCACGCAACAAAGCGAGAGAGCGGATGCGTGCATAGATATGCGTGCTTGAATCATGAGGCGAAAAGAGTAATGCATGGCGCTTTTGTTGTCGGCTTTCTTGTCCATGCACTTGCGGCGAAACCACCCGCACAATTTGCATTTTCCTTATCCGCTCACATTTTGGAACATAATAAATAAATCCACCAAATTGTTAGGCGTATATGTGACCATTTCATGTGTATATTTTAATATTACTAGGCCCACTTTAGAATATAAAAATTTTGATCGATTTGACAAACAACTAAATATAATAAAGATAATAGATACATATCTTATTTTAAATCCATGTCTATATGATATTTGGTTTGAATTTTTCTAAACTTGCGGAGAATGTATTAATCAACGGTGTGTCATTAATATTTTGGGATTAGGTTATACATATATTCTATAGCCAAATGATTTTTGTTTAATTTGAGGAAATTCGGTAGAAATGTTCTAATGTAATTGTAATTTTATAGTGTCATTATGTCTTCTTCATTAGTCGAATTTTCCAATTTTGGAGGAGAGATTACCAAAATATTAATATTAGGAAGGTAGGTGCAATTCCATATTATCACATAAGCATTTTGGATCCTAATAATTAATAAATGCGTTGCAGCATCCGTAACGAAACTAGAAAGCCCAAAGATATTTTTTTTAAAAAGGAAAACAAAAAATAATAACAAAAAAGCGACACGACTACAAAAGAAACTACATTTTCTTTCTTCGCGCGTCTAGATCATCCTGATCTCCTCCTCTTCCTGGGCCTCGCCTCCCTCGCTATTCGAGGATTTCTGTTGCGTTCTCGGCCGTGACGGATTCGGAGAGAAATCTCCGGCGTCTCGATTTTCACGAGAGAGAATTTGGGTGGCGGAAGCTGAGAGAGCCGATTCCGTTTCTTGGAATCGTTCTGAGGTTGGTTGCTTCGCACTCGGGAAGAAGCGTCACTGAGAGCGAGGGAGGGAGGAAGGAGAGAGCGAGATATTTGCCTTTTATTCTGATTGCTTCCCCCGGTCTGAATCGCTGGTGCTGAGGTAATTGGCGTGTTTCCGTCACTTGGTTTGAATCGTTAGCTGTTGATTAGCCATGGAGGGGACTTTTTTCTGATGTGAGCCGTGTGATTTATTCTTGAGATGGGATATTGCCTTGTTAGGTGTGATCAATTCCCGACAAATTGGGGAATCACGTTTCTTGTGTTTTCTGGTTCCGTCGGTTATTGGGTTGGTGAAACGGATTGAATTCAAAGTGGTGGGGTTTGGTTTTCTAAACGAAAAACTGAAGACGGCTTTGGTTCAATGGTGATGAATTCCGGAATCGAAATTTAGAGTATGGAAAGCATTGGTAGCTGTTTCTGGCATCTAAGTGAACAACTTTCGGAGTGGGAACCGATTTTTCTTTTCATGTTACGATTATTCAATAAGGAATTTGTTGTTGGGCTCTTTCTCTGCCTGCTACCATTCTTAGATTACCCAGTGAAATTGAGAGAGCCGGGTTAGGGTCCTGAACCCCATTTTTCTTGCCATTAAATGCATTTATTCTTATGGTTCTTTTTTTTTCTCTCCGGCAATAAATCTTTTGTGTGTTCATACCTATAGTTTGTTTTTAATAAAAGTTTTTACTTACTATAACTTGGGTCCTCTTAATTTTCCTGTGACACCTTCCAGTTCGGTATTCATGATTCTCAGATTGTTTTGGCCATCACTGTCAATAAGGACCTAGTTTCTGGTTCTGAGAGTTTCCGGCTGGTAGAGAAGTTAATTTGCAGACATGCCGTCTCTACAGCTATTGCAGTTGACTGAACATGGCCGTAATCTTGTGGCGTCAAGACGGTAAGAATTCTTCTCTCTTAGTTCAGAGCAGATAGATAGCCTCTTATGGTGTTCTTGAGACCTGAAATGCCCTGTTTTCCTTGTTCTTTGGTTAGTTCATCATCACTTTCTCTCGTTTTGCTATGCGCCCTTTTTAATTTGTTTTGTCTTCTTTTCCCCCTTTGGTGGCCACAGGAAATCTATACTGCTGGCAGCTGGAATTCTGGCTGCTGGTGGGACGGCTGCATACCTGAAGTCAAGGAACAGCTCCCAAAAACCTGATTCTTCACATTGCAATGGGCACAGTGATGGCAAAGAGGGATCAGAAAAGATGATAAAAAATGAAAAAAATGCAAAGATAAATTCAAAAAAGAAGAAAGGAGGCTTGAAGTCGCTTCAGGTTCTGACTTCTATTCTTGTATCTCAGATGGGCCGATTGGGTGTGAGGGATTTTCTGGCACTAACGGGCACAGTGGTACAAATTTTCTGCCAATACATAAAATACTTTGTTGCTCTGTTTGTTATTTTATGCTTTGACTTTCAATTTTTGTTCCCTTGTCTTATAGATTTTTTATTTACGTTTAGTGGAAACAAACAAATTGGGCCGCTTTGTTTGTCTTGAGAAAACGCCGTTTGGTTATGTTAATGTTCGGTGTACTGGCCTGCTATAATGTGTTGCATATTTGTAATAAGTTCCTGAGAATCTCAATTTTCACCATCCTGAAAGAAACACCAAGCTAAGTTTTTAGTGTGTAGCAATGAGCTTGGATTCCTCACTTCCTTAAGTTCCACAAGTACGCGAAACCTCTGATTGGTTGACTGTGTGAGCCTAATACTACTTCTAATCAAATTATCATTCTACGATTTGCAGGTGCTTAGAACTGCTTTGAGCAATAGATTGGCAAAAGTGCAGGGTTTCCTATTTCGTGCAGCTTTCTTAAGGCGTGCACCGCTGTTTCTACGACTTATCACCGAAAATATTCTCTTGTGTTTCTTGCTGTCAACAATGCACTCTACATCAAAGTACATAACTGGGACCCTAAGTTTGCGGTTCAGGAAAATATTGACAAAGCTTATCCATTCTCATTATTTTGAGGTAGCTACTACAGTCTCTTCTAATCTGGCTTAATGGGTTTCCTTTTTTCCTCCTTCAGCTTTTTCATAGTATGTCAGCTGACTAATGAGGATCTTAAGTAAACCATGGGTGTGCAGTGTATCCATATCACCATATTTTTTACTGTTTCAGAATATGGCATATTACAAGATGTCACATGTGGATGGTCGGATTACCCACCCTGAGCAGCGAATTGCAAGTGATGTACCAAGATTCTCTTCCGAATTGAGTGAACTTATACAGGAGGATTTGACAGCAGTTACTGATGGTCTGTTGTATGCATGGCGCTTGTGTTCCTACACTAGTCCGAAATATATCTTTTGGATGCTGGTGATTTCTTGTTTTCTCTTCTGATTACTGAGATTTTTTTTTCTCGGGTCGTTTAAGCCGCAATGAATTTGTTCACAGTTAATTCTTTCTATCTGCTATTCATATAAACTAACGTGTATAGTTGTCATGTAGGCTTATGTATTGGGAGCGGGGGTTGCAATGAGAAATTTCTCTCCTTCTTTTGGGAAATTGATGTCCAAAGAACAGCAGTTGGAAGGGGAGTACCGACAGCTTCATTCTCGCTTAAGGACTCATGCAGAAAGCATTGCTTTCTATGGTGGGGAAAGCAGGGAAGAGTCTCATATACAACAGAAGTTCAAGAATCTTGTTAGACATATGAGAATAGTGCTCCATGATCATTGGTGGTTTGGCATGATCCAAGATTTCCTGCT